ACTTCACTTTGCCAAAATATATTCCATCTGCTTAGAGTCCATTGGGTGTTTTAGAGGTATTGGTTTTTAACCTGAGATAATGGCTAGTTATTTGGCTTCTTGGACAGTCAATAGTAACAAAAGTTGTTCTCCATTTTGAATTTAACACCTCTCAGATAATCTCTTCTTTGTTCGCATTGGAACCGGGCACGTTCCTTGTTGACAGACAGAGAATGAGAAGGAGAGAGAATTGTCTCAGTCTGTGTTCAATTCTGCATTCCTAATTTTATGTACCTCACACTAACAAAGAATCCCTATGAAATGGCAGCTGGTTGCATATTCCCTGTTTACTCAAGCTTTATTTTGCAGGCTTGTTTGTTGTAGGTGAGGTTCCATCTCAAAAATGCAAAGATTCTGAATGGTTTCAAATGACATGAGAGATGAGGGCCTTGTTACACCTCACATGAAGGAGCCTGCTGACTGGTTTAATTGCTTTTGAGGGCTTGGGCGAGAGGGGGGAATGTTAATTTCAGCTCGAACAGTCTTTTCTCTAATCCATATTAGTTTCATGAAACCTGGCGAACCTTTATGGATCCAATGACGCCTGTCATTGCTTTTGGTCCCTTTTTTTAAAATCTGTTTCAGTCCATAAAAATCCCAGCTATCAAATTGGATGATGGAATTCGATGGTCAATAGTTAATATTTTACAGCAACACAACGCCATTTTATGTAATTTAGATTATATTATTAAAGTTTAAAATAAAATGCAAACTTCTTTTTCTCTGCACATTACATTTTTGTATTTTCACTTTACGGCATTAATTTACTGTTTAGCAGAATAACTTCGTTTCATATTGTCTTACAGATAAATGACATTTAAACAAATTAAAAGTGGTCTTTGCAGTTAATTTAAGTAGTAGTACTTTAATTACCATAAGCATTATATATCAGAATCTAATAATCATAAGGAAACTTAAGGAATGAAATTATTTATTTCCTCTGTAGTTTATCCGATGATAACTTGAAATATGTTAGTATGAATTAACTTTTATGGGATACTATTTCATATGGAATGTGACTTAAATGTTGACACTTTAATGCCAGACATAAAACCAATAGTTTATCTTATATATACACTCAGCAGAAATTGTGAACGTATAATTTGAAAATTCTGTTGAGTTGTGTGGCCTAATGCAGAATACTAAGTAACGATGTTCCACTGGGAAAGCATGTGGTCAAGAATAATGTTGGGGCGGGGCAAAAACACTTCCCTTAAGTAGATCATAGAACAGAATCAATATAAGAAAGTGAATAAACTGATTTACTAAAACAAGATTTATTTGAATGGTTCCAGAGATTAGGGATTATAGTTTCATGGATATACTGAAGAATCTGTGTATTTTATTTCTTCGGTGCTTTATGATTTTATTATTGGGAATGCTAAACTATGAACCCAGATTTAAACTATGGAGAACATGCCACACGATCTGAAAGATGACAAGTTCTGCAAGCAGATGGCAAGGAAAAGCGATATCAATAATAATAATAATAATAATAATAATAAAAATAATACCATATTGTAATAATTAAGGAAATAACAGGAAACCTTGCCAGTAAAAGTGTGAAATGTTCGAGGAAACGTGTGGCAATATGTTTCAATTTTCAATCGAAAGAGCAAACAAAAAAAATCCAGAATTATACAGTGAAGCCAATTGGACCATTTATACCTAAGCTAGCTCCCTGAAAGAGCTGTTGAGTTAATCTTATTCACCCTGTCTTTACCCAAGACCCTGCAAATGTTTCTTTTGTTGACTACTACAAATCATGACATTATAACTCCAATTTTCCAGCACCCAAAATACTGCTTTCACATATTTCCAGTGTACACCCACATTAGTACTCAGCTTCAGTTTTCACCCACAAATGCATGTTTTACTTGCAGTAATTACAACTACGTGCAAGTGATCAAGCAGGTGGTACAGACTGTGCTGTGAAAACTGATCAGGTTTGAGACATGCCACTCTTTGCATGGATGCTGATGATATTTCAAAATAGCAACAATGCGTGCCTAAGTTTCACTTTTACATTTGGTTTACAAGTCATTCCCTTATTTTTCAAACCTTTAAATGCCAGCTTATAGACCTACATCTATGATGCATAATTCAGTTTCTTTTTTGAAGGTTACTATTGAAAGTGCGTATTCAGGTATTTGCATCAGGTGTTAATGATTCAATGCATTAAAAAGTTCTCCTCATTGCTGCACATTTCTCTCCCTTCTCCCCACCACCCCCTAGCCAAAGTTTTGTTTTTCTTTGTAAACTAATTAAAATCTGTGATCCCTAGTTACCATTTCTCCTGTCAGAGAAATGAGTTTCTTCCTCTCCCCATCATCAAACTTCCTGGTTATTTTGAAAACCTCAGCTAAATCTCCCTTCAACCTTCCTTCTTCCCTTTTAAGATTCTCCACTCAAAGAACAATTCCAGTTTCTCAAATCACTCCACACAACTGAACTCCCCTAACCTTGCCTCTGTTCCTGTAATTCATCTTGGGTATTTTTAAACATTCATGTGGCCAGTAAAATATGCCACATCTTGGTGTTTAGTTTTGGGAATTCATTGGAAACAGGAAGAGTGCTGAAAGGCAGTCGTTGCAACAGATTTTTTTTAAACAAGGTACCATTTTTAACCTTCAGAACTGCAGGTCAGCAAAAATGAAAATTTCCAGTAGATCAAACACTTGGAACACACCCTGAAGAAAACAATGAAACAGCCGGAGCTAGACAGACCAGTATTGTTGCCCTTTGAGAGATGGGTTCTGTGTCAGATTAATTGAACTTTGGAAAGGTAACAAGCCTGGTGAAATGACGAGCTCAGTGAACATTGTGACCTGAAAACTTGTTTATATGGCACCCATTTTTCAGATGGTAAATGACCTCAAGCTTCCAATATGGCAGGCAGGAAGCACACACACATTTACTGTGAGAAGTGCACTGCTCACCTTGTTTGAAAATACTGCTGTCTCCAAAGCACATATGGAATTCACATAGATACTTTCTTCCTCTCTTTCTCCACTCCACCCCTGCCACATGCATGCATGGACACAGACACTCACCAATTCCCTGCACCTTCCTCCTCTTCAGTAGCTCCATAGCATCAGTGTGAAATTCTCTTTTTTTTGGGAGGGAGAGAAAGAAAATCTGAATCTGACTGACAATGGGAGCAGATCAGATCCAATGTAAACATTACTCTGTGAGGCAAAGTGTGAAATTTTGCTTTATCTTGTAGTAACTTTTGAGTCTTCACATTCCAAGGTTTGGTGTCTATTGAAAGTACAGCAAACTTTGTTTTAACCAGCACCTTACGAACTGGTAAACTTGATGAACAGTCTATATACCTCACATTCTGCAAGTTTAATGTACAATCACAATCTCCATGATGTCTGAGTAGTCAGTTGAGGGTTTGATTGAGAAGGCTGCTAAGTTGTTTTTAAGGCAAAGCTGTGTTATTGTTTTTGTGATTTATGCTGTAAATAAAGTATAACAGTGATGGTTATTCCCCTTGCATTACATCTCTATTCAATATTGACCTTTTGATCAACTGGTTCACTCCTGATCCCACAGGTACTGGTTAATAAACAATTTGCTATAGTTTGGACACTGCCTAGTTACACACATAGAGAATGAATATGCTGCAAATGAGCTGATACTCGAAGGTAGTATAGTTCCAGTTGTTAACAAAAGCAGAAAAACAGAAAATAAGAGATAGAGTACACCATTTGGCCCTTCTGCCATTGAATGTAATCATGGTTGATCATTCTACTATCCTGTTCCCGTTTTCTCCCCATATTCTCCCCATAGGTACAGCAAAGTCTGCAGAGGGATATAGATAGTCTAAGTGAGTGGGCAAAGGTCTGGCAGATGGAATACAATGTTGATAAGTGTGAGGTCATCCATTTTGGTAGGAATAACAGCAAAATGGACTATGTTTTAAATGGTAAAAAACTGTAGCACACAGCTGTGCAGAGGGACTTGGGTGTCCTTGTGCATGAATCGCTAAAAGTAGGATTGCAGGTGCAGCAGGTAATTAAAAAGGCAAATAGAATTTTGTCTGTCATTGCTAGAGGGATAGAGTTTAAAAACAGGGAGACTATGCTGCAGCTGTATAGGGTCCTGGTGAGGCCACACCTGCAGTACTGTGTGCAGTTTTGGACCTTACTTGAGAAGGGATATACTAGCACTGGAGGGGGTGCAGAGTTGAAGAGGGTTGGATTATGAGGAGAGACTGATTAGGCTGGGATTATACTCATTGGAATTCAGAAGAATGAGGGGAGATCTTATAGAAACATATAAGATTATGAAGGGAATAGATAAGGTGGAGGCAGGGAGGTTGTTTCCACTAGCAGGTGAAACTGGGACTAGGGTGCATAGCCTCAAAATAAAGGGAAGCAGATGTAGGACTGAGGTCAGGAGGAACTTCTTCACCCAAAGGGTTGTGAATCTGTGGAATTCCCTGCCCAGTGAAGCGGTTGAAGCTACCTCACTGAATGTGTTTAAGGCAAGGCTAGATAAATTTTTGAACAGTAAAGGAATTAAGGGATATGGTGAGTGGACGGGTAAGTGGAGCTGAGTCTCAAAAAGATCAGTCATGATCTTATTAAATGGCAGGGCAGGCTCGAGGGGCCAGATGGTCTACTCCTGCTCCTAGTTCTTATGTTCTTATATCCTTTGACCCCTTTACCCAAAGAATTATGATCTAACTCCTTCTCAAACATTCAAATGTTATGAGCTTAAACACTTGCAAACATTGGCTTTCAGACTTAGCCAATTTTGCAGTTGATTCAAACATTGTTTCATTGCTTACTATTCTGTTATCGTTTAATTACAAGACATATTGTATGGATATTATACAGCTATAAATTGTAAATAGAGCATTATTTACTATTCTCCTGAGATGCATATATTGTAGATTTTAATCCTGAAGCTGCCGCTGTGAATGATATAAATAACTTTATTTATTTCAGGTCTCCAAGCAGCAACATTTTCAGCTGTCCTAGAGATTTTCTTAGGAATATTTGCCAAATAGACAATCCTCAAATGTTTGCATCCTTGCCGTATGTTATAAACATAACCGCGATCAACCCTATTGGCCGCAGGACCACATTGTTGGATATTGTGCTATTTGATATTGGTAAGCAATGTTTGTTATCACACTAATTTTGTTGCGGGTTTAGTTGAAACATAAAATGGTTATCTAAACATTTTAAAATACTATCCAAACATTTAGTAAATGTTCTTACTTGATTGTAACTCCATGTGATTATTGTAAAACACGAGCTTTGCTTATATTTTGTAGCTTGGCGAAACTAGTAATAATGATACAGTTATAAATAAAATTATTGCAACAAAACTTGCTACTTTTGGAACATTTGTAGTCAGAGGCAAAATCAAGCTGTAATAAGACAAATCCAATGGGGGAGATGTTCAGTAGCTAAAGTGGACAGAAACAGGACTATAGTGCCCCTGGAAACTGCAGGTTAAAGATCATAAAACTTGGAGCTTAAGTAGGCCACTTGGCCCATTGAGTTTGGTTCACAATTTGGTAATATCGTGGCTGATCTGATCTGATTATCTTCAGCACCATTTTCCTGCCTTCTCCCCATACTTCTTGATTCCTTTACTGGTGAAAAGTCTGCCTGTTGTAGCTTTGTATATTCGTAGTGACCCGGTCATGACAGCTCTCAACAGTAAAGATCTGCTACCCCCTGAGAAGAAATTCCAACTATCTTGACTTAAATGGGCCACTCTTATACTGAGACTATGCCTTCTGGTCCTAGACTCTTCCACAAGTGGAAACGAGTTCTCCATATTCTGGCCTGTCAAGTCTCCCCAGAATCTTGTGTTTGAATAAGGTCTTCTCTCATTCTCCTAAACTCTAATGAGTATGGACCTAACCACTAAATCTCTCCTCAAAAGAAAATCCCCAAATCTTGCTTGTTGTGAACAGCCAAAGGAATATGCTACATGATTCAATCCAGTCTCTGGGATATATGGTCTACATACCAGAGTTTAAGGGGCAGCACGGTGGCTCAATGGTTAGCACTGCTACCTCACAGCACCAGGGACCTGAGTTTGATTCTTCCAACAATGACTAGTTTGCATGTTCTTCCTGTGCCTACAGGCTACCTTCAGGTGCTCTGGTTTCCTCCCACAGTCCAAAGATGTGCAAATTAGGTGGATTGGCCCTGGGAAATGCAGAGTTACAGGGATAGGGTAAGGGAGTGAGTCTGGGTGAGATACTCTTTGGAGGATTTTGTTTTATTCGTTCATGGGATGAGGGCATCACTGGCGAGGCCAGCATTTACTGCCCATCCCTAATTGCCTAGAGAGCAGTAGAGTCAACCACATTGCTGTGGGGCTGGAGTCACATGTAGACCAGACCAGATAAGGATAGCAGTTTCCTTCCCTAAAGGACATTAGTGAACCTGAGGGGTTTTTCCGACGATTGACAATGGATTCTTGGTCATCATTAGACTCTTAATTCCACATTTCTTTTTCTATTGAATTCAAATTCCACCATCTGCTATGATAGAATTTGAACTCGGGTCCCCAGGATATTACCTGGGTCTCTGGATTAATAGTGCAGCGACAATACCATTAAGGCCATCACCCTCCCTAAAGGTTGGTGTGAACTCAATGGGCCAAATGGCCTGTTTCCGCACTGTAGGGATTCTATGAAGAATTACACTTTGCAGACAAAAAAAAACTTCTGCCTGTTCCATCTCAACAAAATAGGTGATGCCAATTGTTGGTTTTCTCAGAAAAGCCCTAATCCATCAGAGTCAACTGTTTTGAAATTTAAACCAAGCTTGGCAGTTAACAGTCAATGATCATTAACTATTGCATTCCCTCTGCCAATGCTTCTACCAGAGTTCACTTGTCAAAAACCAGCACTTTTCTCTCATGCACCATAAATTTTTTTTACTCCCTTTATTGGTATTCTTGTGAATTGTTTTGTTGCATGTAAGATGAACGTCTTCAATGTGCTTTTTTTAAAAGCAATATTTAATTTCTGATTTGTCAGACAGAAATTTACCAGGATGTTGCCTGGTGTGGAGAGTTTTACTTGAGAGATTAGATAGACCATGGTTGTTTTCCTTTGAGCAGAGGAGATGGGATTGGGGGAGGGGAAACACACATGGTTGAGATATATAGTATTATAAGAAGCATAAACAAGGTAAAGAAGAAGGAACTTTACCACTTAAGAAGGGGGAACAATGATTGAGGGGCAGAGATTTAAGATGAGGGTCAGGAGGTTTAGAGGAAATGCTAGGAACAATATTTTGATCCAGAGGGTGGTGAGAATCTGGAACTTGTTGCCTATGAGGATTGTAGAGGCAGGAACCCTCATATCATTTAAGTATTTTAGATGCGCACTTGTGATGCCAAGTCATATCGTGCAACGGACCAATTGATGGAAATGCAATTAAAATAATGAGGGGTTGTTTTTGACTGCTGCAGACCCAGTGGGTCAAAAGGCCTTTTTCTGTGCTGTAGACCTCTATAATGCTAAAGATGTTTTTTTTTGCTTATTATTGTTTTAGTTCAGCCGGATCCACCTGTAAATGTAACAGCTGAACCTGTTTTTGGATCTCCTAGAAGAATCAAAGTGCAGTGGGATTATCCACCATCATGGGGTTCACAATTCAAATTAAAATTTGTCCTGGAGTACAAACTCCTGCGATATAATTTCTGGTCGAGGGTGAGTTCACCAGTGGTTTGAGATTACTTGTGGGTTGTGTTGGCTTGTCCGGTACTGAATTTAGAGATTTTTTGATAGTTTTCTTCTACTGTGTTTATTTTAAAGAACAGTCTTCACGCTAGCATAAACTCTGCCATTATGCTGTTGGGATGGGCACATTGTAATCCAGTTTATCGTAGAACAAAAAAAAAATTATTGAAGCAACATGCAAGACTGCCTGTTCTTAATTCCTGTGTCAATCTAAGAACTGCAAAGTACACCTGCTGCTGTTGACACCTATTCTTAATTTCAGTAGATCCTACATGGGTTTTAATCTTCTGACAATATAATTTTATTAAGGTCTGTTGTATTTGTAGAGTAGAAAAATCATTCAACGGATATTTTGTTTATATTTAAGTAAGTTTTTATTACTAATTTAAGACTTGAAAGATTGTTAATGTTCCAATTCATTTTGTACTATGTGAAAGCAACTGTTGCAAAAAGGTCGTTGGTATCTCTTTCTTTTGTTTTGCCCATATGTTCAGTCTAGAAAGAGGGAAGACATCAATTCTGAGGAAATTTAGATTCACTAACTGATTCATGGAATTTTTTTAGCTTTTTTTCTGGTGATGGGGAAATTGATGTAGCATTTTTATTGCAAGTGTGGATTCTAACCTAACTAAATTAGGTTTGTCCCAAAAGAACATAATAAATAGAAGTCAGAGTACACCATTGGACCTGCTTACGCCTGCACTATCATTCAAAACAATCATGGCTGATCTTTAATTCAACTCCATTTTCCCGACAGTTCCCTAAATCCCGGTCTATCACAGCCTTGAATATATTCAACAATGAAGCATCCATAAGCTTCTTAGGTACAGATGCTTCATAACTCCTTGTGTGGAAAAAATATATAATTATAGTCCTAAATGATAAAACACTAATCTTGAGATGGTAGCCCTATATTCTCGATCCTCAGGCTAGGGGAAACTCCTATCTTTTAGGCAGTCCCTTAGGTTCAAGCATAGATTTGCTCTGGTTTGGTGTTTTCTGAGATAGCTGATGTGCAACCTTGCCACTTGCAGATAGGTAATGTTTGAAAGTTCAGCCTTCTCTGTCCAACATTTCAACTTTGCTTTTGCAAGAATGAACCTTGTGTCCTATAGTCAGTCACAAGTTAGAGATTGCCTTTAGTCAGCAGGGATGTCACGTCTTCAGAAATACTTTGAGAATGTCCTGGAACTTTCTACGACATACATTCTGGGTAGAGCAGGAGTCTGATGTCAGGCATATGAACAACATGTGCTGCCCAGTGGAACTAATTTGAGCAATTAAGGAAAGTTTATGCTGTTGGATTGCCTTTCTTGCCACCAAATGGCAGCAGTTATCCTGCACTTTGAAGTACATACTGTAGGCTGCTGCAAGTACTCCACAGTGCAAGCTATGCATTAAGCCATGCCTTTAGACTCAGGTTTAAGATCCTGATTCTCCGTACTGTTTTTCTCAATCCTTCAAAGGCTGAAGTGGCCTATTGATTTTGCCTTTGTCAAGTGAAGTTCCCAAGCAATTAGAAATGGTCCACAGTTTTGGTATCTCAATCTTTGTATCTCCTTCAGTGTCTTGTATATTTAAATGAGATCATGTCTCATTCTTCTAAACTCCAAAGACGATAGATGCAAACTACATAATTCGACTCTCTTCTGTGAATCAGTGCTTTTTTTTGTGTTGGTTCATGGGATGTGGGTTTCGCTGGCTGGACCACCATTTATTGCTCTGCCCTTGTTGCTTTGGAGGAGAGGGGTGAGCTGCCTTCTTTAACCCCTGAAGTCCATGTGCTATAGGTATACCCATTAGGAAGGCAATTCCAGGATTTTAACCCAGCGACACTGAAGGATCTGTGATATATTTCCAAGTCAAGATGATGAGTGGCTTAGAGGGGAACTTGGAGGTGGCAGTGTTCCCATATATCTGCTGCCCTTGTCCTTTTAGTGGTGGTGGAGGGATTGGATATTTATGGATGTTGTGCTAATCAGAGGACTGATTTGTTATAGATGGTGTTAGGCTTCTTGAGTGTTGTTGGCACAGCACTCATGCAGGCAAATGGGGGGCGCTACTTCCAAATTAAGTGCATTCTTTCTTAATTTTAAAATTATGCAAAGTACTCCAGGTCTAGTTTCACCAAAACCTCGTACATTTGTGCCTCAACTATTTTTACTGCTGCTTTCTCTGCCCATTCCCTTCATCCCTGTCCTACTCCTTTTGTAATTACCCTTATTTAATCTTAACACAGTTGATTCTGATCCACGTTCCTCCCTCTCAAACGGAATCCTAAATCTACCATTAAAACTCTTTTCACTGTTTTCTAGGTGACATTTATTAAACCTGCCTCATTAATATCACCAGATTCAAAATAGCCTGATCCCTGGTGGGATCTACAACATAATGTATTTGGAATATGTCACATCTATGCTGTGTAAATTCTTTTTCATGGCTTCCTCAGCCAATCTGTCCCATCTTTGTGAAGGTTAAAGTCACCCATGAATTATGTACTGCCTTTGTAGATGCCATATGATCTAATTTTGTTTCTCTGTCCCACCACATAACCACTGTTAGAGGGCCTCTGTAGACCACTCCGTCCAGTGTCCTTTATTTCTTGCCTCCACCCATTTGGATTCTGTCTTCTGATCCAAGATCATTTCTTGCTATCACACATAATCCATCCAAGGTCAGAAGTCAGACAACATCAGGTTATAGTCCAACAGGTTTATTTGAAATCACAAGCTTTCAGGGCATAGCCCCTTCATCATGTGAAGGACTTCACCTTGTGACTTCAAATAACTCTGGACTAACCTGGTGCTTTCTGATTTGACTTTGTCCATCCCAGCACCTTCACATCATAATTGGTCCAAACCAACGTTACCCCACCACCTTTTCCTTTCGAAAAGTTATGAACCCTGAATATTTTTGGTTCCTCGCTACCACCTTGTAACCATGTTTGTAGAATGGCTATAATATCATACTGGTTAACCTGTACTTGTGCTGCTAATTCATTTGTTTTGTTCTGAAAAGTACACACTTTCAGTAAAGAGCTATTAAGTTTGCCTTTTTACCACTTTTTCCTCTTGATCCTGTTTAATGCTATTTTTCTACGCTTGTACACAGTTCTTATTACTCCATGTCTGATTACTGTTTATCTTCTTAGAGTCATACAGCATGGAAACGGACCCTTCAGTCCAACCAGTCCATGCGAACATAATCCCAAACTAAACTAGTCCCACCTGCTTGCTCCTGACCCATATCCCTCCAAACCTTTCCTATTCCTATATTGATCCAAATGTTTTTTAAACTTTGTAATTGTACCCACATCCACCACTTCATCAGGAAGTTCATTCCACACGTGAACCACCCACTGTGTGGAAAATAAAATTGCCTCATGTCACCTTAAAAATGTGTGCCCTAGTCTTGAAATTCCCCATCTTAGGGAAAAGACAACTACCATCAATTCTATCAGGTTATCTCTCAACCTCCTACGCTCCAGTGGAAAAAGTCCCAGCCTATTCATATAACTCAAACCTTCCATACCTGGTAAGTCTCTTCTGAACCCTCTCCAGCTTGATAAAATCCTTCCTATAACTGGATGACCAGAATTAGACACATTATTCCAGAAGAGGCCTCACCAATGTCCTCTACAACCTCAACATAATGTCTTAACTCATATACACAAAGGACTGAGCAATGAAGGCAAGTGTGCCAAATGCCTTTTTAACCATCCCGCCTATATGTAACACAAACTTTAGAGAATTATGTAATTGTGCCCTAGGTTCCTATGTTCTACAACACTACCCAAGGCCCTACCATTAATTGTACAAGCCCTACCTTTGTTTGTTGTACCAAAATGCAATATCTTGCATTTATCCAGATTGAACTCCATCTGCAATTTCTCAGCCCATTGACCCATTTGATGAAGATCCTTTTGTAATCTTAGAAAACCTTCTTCACTGCCAACAATGCCGTCAATTTTGGTGTCATCCGGAAACTTACTAATCATGCCTTCTATATTCTCATTCAAATCGTTTATATAAATGACAAACAAAAGAGGACCCAGAACACTGCTGGTCACAGGCTTTCAGTCCGAAAAACAACTCTTCACCATTAGTCTCTGTCTCCTGCCCTTAAGCCAATTATGTATCCAATTGGCAAACTCACCCTGAATCCCATATGACCTAACTTTACTAATTAGTCTACCATGCAGAACCTTGACAAAGGCTTTACTAAAATCCAAATAAACAACATCTACTGCTCTGCCATCATCAACCTTTTTGGTAACTTACGCGAAAAACATAATCAAGTTTGTGAGACATGATTTTCCTTGTACAAAACCATTCTATCTCTAATCAATTTTTGCCTCTGTAAATGTCCACTAATCCTATCTTTTGTAATCACCTCCAACAATTTACCCACAACCAAAGACAGACTTTCAAGTCTATAGTTCCCTGGTTTCTCGTTACAACCTTTCTTAAACAAAGGTACAACATTAGCCACCCTCCAGTTGTCAGGCACCTCACCAATAGTTACAGACGATGCAAATATTTCTGCAAGGGATCTCGTAATTTCCTCCCTGACTTCTCCCAACATTCTGGGATACATTAGGTCGGGTCCTGGAGATTTATCCACCTTTTACATTCTCTAAGACCTCCTGAACCACCTCTTCTGTAATGTGAACTTTTTTTTAAAACCAAAGCTTATTTTTCTACATTCTCTAGACTCCATTTCTTTCTCCACAGTAAAAACTGATACGAAATATTCATTTAGTATCTTTCTCATCTCTTGGGGTTCAACACAAAGACAACCTCCTTGATCTTTTAGAGGCCCAACACTCTCTCAAGTTACCCTCTTGCTCTTCATGTATTTGTAGAAACTCTTTGGATTATCCTCAACCTTATCTGTCAATGCTATCTCACACCCCTCTTTGCCTTCCTGATTTCTCTCTCAACTCTTGATATCAAGAGATTCAATTGAACCAAATTGTCTGTATCTTTTAAAAATTCTTTTATTCTTGACTAGAACCTCAATATCTTTATTCATCTATTGTTCCTTAATCTTACCAGCCTTACCCTACAGTCTAACGGAACAAAATGCCTCTGAACTCTCGTCATCACTCTTGAAAGGCTCCCACTTATCAGACGTTCTTTTACCTGTGTACTGTCTACTCCAATCAACTTTGAAAGTTCTTGTCTCATACCATTTAAAATTTGCCTTATTCCATTTAAAAACTTCAATTTTTATGGAAGGCTTATCCTTTTCCATAACCATTTTGAAACTAATAGAATTACGATTGCTCGACCCCACTTTTACTTCAGTCATCTGCCCTGCCTTATTGCCCTAAAGAAGGTCTAGTTTTGCTCCTTTCCTAGTAGGAGCATCCACATACTGATTAAAATTTTCTTGAGCACATTTGACAATTCTTCACCATCCAAACCTTTAATACTATAGTAATCCCAAACAATGTTTGGAAAATTAAAACCCCCATTATTACAACATTATTATGCTTTTGATATAATATATATGATCTCCCTACATATTTGTTTCTCAATTCCCCTCTCTTACTGTGGGTGGGGGCGGCTATAGTACAATCCCATCAGTGATCTATTCTTTCTTATTTGTAATTTCTACCCTTTTATTTTCATTGGATGATTTTTCAGAAACATCTTCCCATGTTACCGCAGTAATGTATTCCTTAATCAAAAACATTACTTCCCTCTCTTTTCTTGCCTCCTTTTCTATCCTTCCTATAGCATCTAAAACTGGGAACACAGAGCTGCCAGTCTGGGCCATCTCTCAGCCAAGTTTCTGTAATGACTATGGCATTCCAACCCCACATTCTTAAACATGCCCTGAGTTCATCAGCCTTACCTGTAAGACACCTTGCATTTAAATAAATGCAGTTTAGTTCTTCAGAGTTAGTACATATTCTGACTCTGTCTTATCTTTGTTTTCTATTTGACGTGTTCTCCTCACATTCAGAACCTATCCCATCAATCCTTCTATTTACACTGCTACTTAGAATTTCTCCACTTGCCTTCTCTATCAGTATAAAGTCTCCCTGCTAAGATAATGGTCCCCTTCCACTTCAGGTTAGACCCATCCTTTTTGAACAGGTCTTTTCTATCCCAAAAGACATTCTAATTGTCCAAAAACCTGAATCCCTGAAGAATACATCAGCTCTCCTTTTAAGCTTTTGTTCCTTTCGTCATTTGAGTTTGACATTAGGAGTAAACCAGAAATTACTACTTTTAAGGTTTTATTTTTTAATCTTCTACCTAACCTCTTAAATCCATTCTGTACTGCTTTAATCTTTTCCCTAAAAATGTCATTCCTACCTATGTGAACAATAATTTCTGGTTTCTCAATATCACCTTTAACAATATGCTTGAAATGTTTAGAAAAGTCCTTAATCCTAGCACCAGGTAAGCAACAAGCATCCTAAATTTATGCTCACTGCCACAGAATTGCCTTTTTATGCCCCTAACAGGAGAGTCCCTGATAACAATAATTCTATTAATTCTATTAAATCTTGTCAAATGCTGCCTAACGTAAGAATTGTTCTAAGTGTCCAATAACTGACTGTTCCTTCCATCTTCCTCGAAGAGACTGTTACCTTCAACTTCCATACAAGTTAACAGGTTTTTCTCTTCAAATCCCTACAGCAATTAAACTTCACAAGTACTTCACTGGCTTATTAACATTTTATTGCCTCAGGTTATATTTAAGTTCTAAATTTTTGCACAAAAGCAAAATATTGCAAGCTGCCTGACTTGAGGTATTTCCAGCATCTTCTAATTTTATGTCTTTTGAAAAAAGATTCTTTCTTGGGATGTGTGTGTCACTGGCAAGACCAGCGTTTGTTGTTAATCCTGAATTGCCCTTGAACTCAATGGCATGCAATTCTGTTAGCTGCATTGCAGTGGATTTGGAGTCATGTCGGCCTGACTAGGGAAAGATATTAGTGAAATGATGTGCTTTTATGATAATTAATAGTCCCCATACTGAGATTACTTTTAATTTTAGATTTATTAACAGAATCCAAAACCACCAGCTCCATAGCGGGATTGAAACTGTGCCTTCAGAGCATTGGCCTCGGCCTCTGGATTACTAGTTCAGTAACATGACCAATGCATTCCTATCTGCGTAGTACTGATTTCTGATACTGGCAAAGATCAGGAGACCTGGATTTTAGTCCCAGCTGCTCCAGAGATGTGTAATAACTTCTATGTATTAATGGTTGATTAGAAAATAACAATGGACAAGGAACTTGATAAACACATTAACAACGATGAAGCTATTATTTTCTGCCGGATATATTTTTCATCTGGAAAACTCTTCTGCAGTAATGTAATCATAAAACAATTACAGCAAAGAAAGAAACCATTCAGCCTGTCAAATTCCGGCCAGCTCTCTGCAACAGCAAGTTAGCTTGTCCTGTTCTCTGATAACTTCTCAAATATTTTCCATTCAGAAGCTTACCCAATTTCACCTTGACAGCCAGGATATATGTCTCTGCTACCCTTTCAGATACTGCATCTCAGATCCTGACTATGCAATGTGTTTTTTTTAAAAACAATTCTTTCCACATGTTGCTTTTGGTTGCTTTGCAAATCATTGTAAATCACTGTCTTCTGGCCTTCTACCAAAAATGTATCACTTCAACTTCTCTGTCAAGAAGATAATATTTTGCCGTTGGTCTAATTCCACCTCAACAATGCAACTTCTGTCAGTGTGCTGCATTTGTGATTGTACTGAGAAGTCTATACAGGTCGCCAAAACAAAATATGCAGTGGTGATGATTTGTGAAGTGGAGTAAAACAGGGTGTTAATTCAGCCTGCAATTTATACTTCATACTGACATCACTTTCAAAACATAATATTTACCAGAAAAGAGCGTTGATGTTAGAATGAGGCTTAGACTACTCAGAATAATCACTTGCAAAATAGTAATGAACTCAACATTTGGAATCCTTCCAGATTTTTACTTTCCTTTTCTTTACCAGTTGAATACTAAAATGACAACAGAAATCATCACTGATGCCATTGCTGCTCAGCTGTGTGCAATTCGTGTCAAAGCAAGAGATTTTTTTGACAATGGTAAATGGAGTGATTGGAGTTCGGAAGTACTTGTCACTCCATGGATTGGTAAGCATAATTTATGTATAGAGCTACAAAAACATTTGAGCTGCTGGTTCAGTTGAACCTGTCTTATATACAATTAGGGTGAATTGCATAGCAACGTGACACGTGTGTATGTACATTTGTTTGAGAATTGCGTGACACATTTTGGCCATGGCTGAGGGAGATGTGTGAAAATAGAGTTCAAATTCATTGCTGTAAAATTAGCTTTGAAAGATAGTTACACTTAGCAGTAATAAATTGCTTTAAGGAGCAAAGTCATTCTAAATGATGCATCTGACCTTCAAACACAAGAATCCAATGTTATTTTTCAATTTTTATGCAATACAAATATTTTCCAGACCCGAAACGTTAACTCTGATTTTCTCCTCACAGATGCTGCCAGACCTGCTGAGCTTTTCCAACAACTTCTGTTTTTGCTGCTGATTTACAGCATCCACAGTTCTTTTGGTTTTTTTTCTGAAAGCTTATTTGAAAAGAAAATCAGCGATTTTGCAAATAACAAGGGATAATGCTTTTCATTTGTTCATAAAATTTGTGTGAGTGACACTAGCTAAGCCATCCTATATTGCCCAACCCTATTGCCTTAAAGGTGGTTGTGAGCTGCCCTTTTGAACCACTGTAGTCCATTTGATGTAGTGGACACATTGTTGTTGGGGAGGGCCTAGCAACTTTAAAGGAATGGCAAGTGTAGCAAGTCAGCATGGTGAATAATTTGAAGGGGAACTGGCTGGTGCTGGTGTTCCCATGTATCTGCTACCCTTCTTCTTCCAGATGGAAGTTGTCATGGGTTTGGATATTGGAAATTCTGTGTATATTTGAACCATATGCTTCGCTTGAAGGGAGAACAGACTGAAGTGGAATTCATTGTCTCTTTTCAGCCAACTTACTTAACCTTCAGTTGCAGAGTAGTCTTTAACATGGCAATCTGAGAAACAAAAAGGAAGCTGATTTTTACTTTCCCCCCGGTAAACAATACCCAAAGACCGAGTTGAGTGGTCAATGAGGACATGAAAGAAGTAAATGTCAGTCCTTTAATTTCAGTCAGATTGTATAACACGAAATGTCAATTAATTATGTACCATTCTACGGAACACTGTTTTGCTTCTACAGTCCAACTGTGCAAAATGCTAATTCATATTGTTGACTACTCATCTGAACACTTGTAGCTAATTTATCTTCTGGGATTTTGGAAATCCACATCAATGTGTTTGGATAGAATTGACTTAATGTTACAGTAGTAATGCTGAAGTCATCTTCTTTCCAAGCTAAAATTGTACATTATACAAAGTTGCTGTATAAGAAGCCTCTTTTACGGTGACATGTAAAACACTTGTGTAACATTTTTGGCTTTGGAAATCTATTAATAAATCAACATTTATCCATTCCAGAAACCACTACAGAAAATATCCAATCTACTGTCACCACGCTGATGATGGACTTTATACACACTCAAAGTCAATCGACAGACCCTACCCTCTCTTCAAACGTAATCCTTTCAAGTAAGATGAGTCTGATGCAACTTTTGGTACTGTGTCAAGGATTAGTGTTTAAGGCCAAATGCCACTAGGAAATAGGTCCAACTGAGGAGTGGAAAATGCTGCTTGTGTGACTATGTCCATAAATTATATAGGGAAAAGGAAACTGGCATCAACTTTATTTATATTATTAAGCCTGTATGAACACTGCACCACTGGATCCATCTGTATTGGGTGTGTGTGTGTGTTTGTTGTGTATACATACACATGTGCACATTCTATTAAAGCAATACAGACAGCTCTCATTTCAAGATTTTTTTTGGAAAACTGAACTTGAATGTTAAATCAAATAATAGGAGTATCTTTCTCTGAATACTGGTATACCAAAAATTTTAATTCATAAACTATTGAACACCAGGTGCTGTGCACAAGATACTTTGTTTTCCAAAAGACTTTTTAATATTGACGTGAACAGCAACACGAGTTGTATTGTAGAGCAATTCGAACACAGTAAAAACAAAGTTGCATAGCTTATTACAAAAGCATTGATTGGACAAAAATTGAGAACAAGCCAAATGAGGTAGTATCGGAGGAGGTGACTTACCATTTGACCAAAGGGCTGGAAAGAAAGTAAGAGAGGCGAGAATGCATAGCATTTGAGAGGGAATTTCAGGAAAAAAAAAGCCAGGATTTTTTTTAATTGAAATCACTAGTTCATTAGATGTTTCTTGGATATTGTAGGTGGAATTTAATGCATGCCTCACAATGAGGCTTTTAGTGAAGGGGCATATAATCAGGTGGGAGGGTAAGCGTAGAGACCGCTCTCTGCCACTGACCTCTCCTCCAATTAAGTCTGTGGAAAGAAGTGGTCAGAACATTCGCAGACAGTTAAAGGGTGTCTGATGATTGTTTAATTTAAAACTGAATGTATGAGAGCTGTTCCAGGGATGAGGGACTTCAGTGAGGGGTGCTTATCAAGTTTGGAGGAGAAATGTTGAAAAGATATTTGATGTAAAAGATCATGAACAGTCTAGACAGAGTGGAAAGGAATGCTAAAGAAGCTTGACACCACCCAGGACAAAGCAGCCTCCTTGATTGGCACCACATCCCCTCCCTCCTCCACCAATGCTTAGTACACACTGGTGCTATTATCTACAAGCTGCACTGCAGAAATTCAGCAAAGATCATTAGACAGCAGCTTCCAAACCCACTACCACTTCCTTCTAGAAGGACTTGGAAACTCTTGCTGGGTCAAAAATCCCAGAATTCCCTCCCTAAGGGCATGTAGGTCAACCAACAGCAGGTGATCTGAAGTGGCCTGAGAAAGCAACTCACCACCACCTTCTTAAGGGCAATGTCTCAAGTGAATTTAAAGAAAAGGGTTGAGAATGAAGGAATATAGATTTAAGTGATTGGTAAAATGAACTAGAGTTTACATGAAGAAAAGGTTTTTTTTGCATAGTGAACGGCTAGACTTTGGAATGCACAGCCTGAGAATGTGATGGAGGCAGAGTCTCTGTGGTTTTCAAAAGGGAATTGGACAACTATATGAAGAGAAAACAATTGCATGGCGAACGGGAAAGGCACAAGCAGTGTAGGTCTTGCAGAAAGGCAACACAGACTTGACAGGCAAATAATCTCCTTCTGTGTTGTAACCATTTTTTATGATTCTATAAATTTCCCCCCTCAATACATGAAAGTAAAATAATTTCATAAACAACAATGAATGAGGTCCATCTCTTCAAAAAAAAACTGAAATTAATGACCAATAATAAAATTTAGATTTTGAGACTGATTTTGGGCAGTGTTTTGCATATGGTCCCATATTTGTGAATTAATTTACTTCGATTATTTTGACCACAGGTTCTGATGTACTGGATAGAAATATTGTCGTACTGATCTCCATCGCTGCTTCAATTGGAATCTGCATTGCAGCCACTACATTTGTGTTATGGTATTAAAACAGTATTTGTATTATTTTTGATCTCATGTTCTTGAGTTTTACTTATAAACCCAGCTGATATTATGACGGAGAAAGTCAGATTGAAGACTGAAATTCGGCTCGACAGATCCTATTTTGTTTTATTTAATAAAGTGGTTTTATTAATCAAAAGCATGCATTGCTAAGGTCTGGTTTTAACAAAAAACCGGAAGTTTATGCAAAAGAAAATAGACGCAATCAAGCTGCTTAAATGTGACACAATTTGAAAGGTTTTGAAACATACAATAATCCCATCTATCCTAGTGTCATTACTTTACAGTACTTCAACACCAGAAAGATTTTACTTTTCAATCACATAGAATCATAGAATCCCTACAGTGTGGAAACAGGCCAATCAGCCCAACAAGTCCACCCAGACCTATCCCCTTACCCATACCCTTTCCCTGTAACACCTACATTTCCCCTGCCATTCCACTTAATTTACACGTCCCTGGACACTACGGGAAATTTAGCATGGCCAATCCACCTACCCTGCACATCTTTGGACTGTAGGAGGAAACTGGAGCACCTGGCAGAAGCCCATGCAGACACAGGGACAATGTGCAAACTCCACATAGACAGTCGCCGAGGGTGGAATCGAACCCAGGTCCTTGGCACTGTAGGTCTCTTCCCTGATTCGTCATACAAATGAGCTTAAACTTTCTCAACTTCAAATAACCTATTCATGGTTCTAACCAGACACTTCTGATCCAGAACTTTCAAATTAAAATCCTTACATTTCTTAACTTTTCTGAACTATCTCTCTTCTCTAAGAGAAGCTGTTCCACGTACCTAACCTCAACCAGGACATCTCTAAACTAGATGCAAAAATGCACCTCCATGTTTATTCCATCTGCCTGTAAAACTCTTCCAATGCAAACAAATCCATCTCTCATGGCTCCAAAAATACTGGAAGTTCATCATTATACCCCCTCATATACACAGACCAAAACCCAAATACCATATTTACAGTCCAAACTGAAGTCCAATGTGATTAAGAAAGACTGTTCTGTTTTATTCATTAAATGTGAAGAACATTTAAGCAATATTATTTTCAATATTTCAATATTGACTACTACACTCCATATCCCAGAAAAGTAGACAATAATCACTTGCCATTTCCAACTGTATTGGAACCAATACATAAAGGTGTGATAAAGATTTACCTATCATGCTAGTTATAGCTTGAGTAATAAGTAGAGTATACAGTCATTCTGCTTATGGTTCGTTAGTTATGTGCCAAGATTCTTGATTAAATTTCCATCATGAGATAAAATAAATCTTCAGTATGCTGGCTCATTAATCAGTGTAATTAGTTTTATGAAACAAATGTCACTGAAACTATTGAGAAGAATATTCTTCTATTTGTATTTTCTTCGCAGGATCAGAAGACGACGACAAGAGTCAGATATGAATGACATTCTGACCAAGAAGGCACTGTCTCTTTGTTAATGTGGTATGTAGTTAGCTGGGACAACTCTACTCTTTACCTTTGTGCAACCTTCACTTTTAGAAAATCTGAGATTTATAAATGAGGCCATTTAAGCAATGATTTAAAACCCAGCTTTTTCCCCCTCTGGTGTGTTTGAAATTAAGTGTCGTATTGATACAGTACTGATAGGCATCAAAAACTTGTACAGTTTCAAATTTGATGTGTTCGTAAATGGCTCAGAACAAGTTACCACTTGCCCTTATTTTTTCACACCCCCCCACCCCCTTAGCCAAAAAGACAGGTGAAATGACATAAAAGATGAAGAATGGTACAGAAAAAAAATACTTTGAAGGGTGGATTTTGGGTTGTCACTCGGTTACTGGAGTCTATTGAATGTTGCTCGATTGTTTTTTTTAAACTTTTTATATAAAGTTATTATAATTAATTTAGTTTTTTTCCAAAAAGAATATGAACAATGTGTGAGTAAGGGTACAGTATGTGGGTGTTATGCTAGGGCAGGCCAAACTGACTAGATGGTCTTCACTTGTCATTTTTCTTTGTTGCATGACTAATTTTAAAAGAAAATCTATCAGTAGACTACATGACATTGAATTTGCAATTTTATGATGACCATTGGCCATTTTATCACTAAAGATTTCTGCTTACAGCTCAGCATATTGTTCTGAGCGAGAATTCTGGCTACTATGTCATATGGAGGACCTCTTCACTGTTGTACAGTTCTTCAACTAACTGAAAAACATTATGAAGGAATTGATCACGGGGCTTTAAATTGAAGGACATTTCCAGAGTTGCCAACTAAATGAATACTAGATTGAATTGTTTAGTTATCTTTCCATGATCTATTATTGTACGTTCTTTTATTTCCACAAAGGTGTTTAAATGAAATGAATGCTAACCAGTTTTGATACCCAATGAGATGTTGTACTTCCTGAATACAATCACTCCTTGCCTTTCATTTGATTTTGCAGTCACTAATACTCTTCCTAAAATTGTAGTTATGTTGCAGATTTGAAGTAAAATCATTTGATGTAGTTTTATTACTCCTCTAGAGGTTGCATAATGAGGAACATGAAGAACCTGACAAGTAACCTATAAAAGGTCTCTGTTTTATGGGTCACACCAATAGGAGTATTATGGTCAATTCTGAAGGTGACAGAAAGGATAACTGCTAGGGGAAAAAAGTGGTCAGCATGATATAAAGGTTACAAAATGGCTGTAGTGCTACAGATCACTCCATCTCTATTGCTTTAGTGACCTGCAGCATGATATTGTTGCAACTTGCAACAAGATTACACCAACAAGTAGAATTAAACTGAGGAAAACTTATTTTTTGAGCAGATAACTGAGCCTGTTTTAGACTTTTGTGCTTATCTTAAAGCACAGCCTTTGAGAAATGGATTTACTGTGACAATAGGACTTTCCTTTGGGGGCCATGGGGGGAGTGTGTGGAAAGAGGAGAAGGGAATAGGTAGAGGAAAGGAAAAGTGAAAAGGCAAATAATTTATTGAAGCTGATTAGCATATTCTGTAGTATTGAATTGTCTATTCAAGGCTGGTCATTTTAATCAAACAAATGTTCAGAGTACTGAACTAGTTACAAATATAGTGCAACATCATCCAATCCTTGAGATAGGTTTTTAGAAATGTAGACATTTCTATAGTCTAATATTGGTCTATATCATTTACAGAAGTTTGGAATGGTTTGAGGCTTTAAAAACGTGATGGTGAATTGAACGTGTTCAAGTAGTGAATACTCCTCTATAGAGCACATGGAGAAAGGACAGTAATTTGGCATTGGGTATTGATTCAAAGGCAACATTTTAGTATTGATTTAAATTATTGTGGAGAATTATTGACAAGAATTAGTCAATACTTGATTGCAAAACTGTTACAGCACCAACCCTATCTGTGCCACTACTCTAAGAGAAAGTTACTTAGTCACTTCTGTGCTGTAAATGTACATATTTCCCTTTTTGAGTACCAAAACTGAATCTGCCCCCTGCTACAATCTCGCGGAATGCTTTCCTGATCCTACTAGTGAAAGCTTTTCTCGTGTCACCATTTTCTCTTCTTCCATAACTTTAAACCTGCAATTCCAATTTTGATTCCATCAGCTGGCATGATGGGAGATTTGAATTCATGTCCCCAGAGCATTGCCCTAGCTCTCTAGTTTACTATTCAATGGTTACCATTACATCATCATGTACCAAGGTTGAAAAATATAGGTCTACTAGATACCTATATCACAGGAAACGGTTATACAAATTGCAGCATTTCACTTCTTTCTATTCTTCCCCCAAACAAAATATCTGTTTGACAAATCATGATAATTTCTTACAAAAAGAACTATAATGTATAAATATTATAATTTTATGTTGGTTTAGATTCTATATAAATTGAATGTCCCTTTGTGCCAATCCAACACTTAAGTTTTTACGGCTTTATAATTTTGATTACCTTTTAATTCCAGATAGATCATATCGGTTGCAATTGTTGAATAAAGCTCCAGATTTAAAATTTGAGGGGATTGCACTACTGTTATTTAAATACACCAGAGTGTGTGTCAGATCGTGGTCCCAGATTGGCTGATTTAACTGGAGGGCCATACATAAGCAACACTGAGTGAGACTTTGCAGCCAATCAGTGTAGGTCATCCAGAGACGATTACTTAAATGAGCCCTTTATCCTTGTGCTTCATTTCAAATCGAAGTGTGCATTTGAGATTATTATATGATGAATAATGCGTTTGAAACATAGAAGATAGGAGGAGGCCATTCGGCCCTTTAAGCCTGCATCACTATATATCATGATCATGGCTGATCGTCCAACTCAGTGGCCTAATCTGCTTTCTCCCCATAACCTTTGAACGTATTAGAGGCGGCTAGATACAGCATTTGGGGTGAATGGAATCAATGTTTTGGCATCAACTACTTCCTGTGGTAATGAATTCCACAGCCTCACCACTCTTTGGGTGAAGAAGTGTCTCCTCAACTCTGTCCTAAATCGTCTATTATGAATCCTCAGACTGAGAGCCCTGGTTCTGGACACACTCATCACGGGAACATCCTGTATGGTCCAGTTAGAATTTTATAAGTCTCCGAGATTCTCCCCCCCCCCCCCCGCCACCCCCCTCATTCGTCTGAACTCCACCACAAAATGCTAACCTAATCAATCTCTCCTCATACGTCAGTACTGCCATTCCCAGATCAGCCTGGTAAATCTGCGCTGCACTCCCTCAAAAGCACTCTCTCAGAAAAGGAGACCAAAACTGCGCACACTATTCCAAAGCCCTGTATAAATGCAACACAACCCCTGCTCCTGTACCTGAAACGTCTCGTTGTGAAGGCCAACATACCATTTGCCTTCTTTACGCCTGCTGCACCTGCATGTTTCCCTTCAGCGACTGGTGCACAAGGATGCCCAGGTCCCGCTGTACACTCCCGTCTCCCAAATTACAGCCATTCAGGTAGTAATTTGCCTTCTTGTTTTTGCTTTCAAAGTGAATAATCTCACATTTATCCAAATTATACTGCATTTGCCACTGATTTTCCCATTCACCCAACCTGTCCAGGTTATGCTGAAGGATTTCTGCATCCTCATCACAGTTCACCCTCCCATCCAATGTGGTATTGTCTGCAAACTTGGAGATGTTACGTTTTGTTCCCTCATCAAAATCATTAACATATATGGTGAATGGCTGGGGTCCCAGTACCGATCCCTGTGGCACCCTACTAGTTACTGCCTGCCAATTTGAAAAGGACCCATGAATTCCTACTCTTTGTTTCTTCTCTGCCAACCAGTTTTCTATCCACCTCAATACACTTTCCTCAATCCCATGTGCTTTAATCTTGCACAATAATTTCTTATGTGGGACTTCGTCAAACGCTTTCTGAAAATCCACATATACCACACTAAGAAACAAATCCTGAAGTGATGTCACCCACCCCAACAAACCAAAACACTTAAATAGCAAGCAGGACCGAACACTTGCGCTTCACCAGAGGTGCACTGATGACATTACCTAGCATGGTGACAAAACGTATATGAACAAACTTACCAGCTCGGTGAGCAAATCAACAACTGCATTCCACATTGTATCAGAGATAGTAGGAACTGCAGATGCTGGAAAATCTGAGATAACAAGGTGTAGATCTGGATGAACACAGCAGGCCAAGCAGCATCATAGGAGCAGGAAGGCTGACTCATATTCCGCTTGGGAACCCTGCAGCCCAATGGTATCAATGTGGATTTCACTAGCTTCAAAATCTCCCCTCCCCCTACCGCATCCCAAAACCAGCCCAGCTCGTCCCCGCCTCCCTAACCTGTTCTTCCTCCCACCTATCCCCTCCTCCCATCTCAAGCTGCACCCCCATTTCCTACCTACTAACCTTATCCCGCCCCCTTGACCTGTCCGTCCTCCCTACCTCCCCACCTACACTCACCTTTACTGGCTCCATCCCCGCCTCTTTGACCTGTCTGTTTCCTCTCCACCTATCTTCTCCTCTATCCATCTTCTATCCGCCTCCCCCTCTCTCCCTATTTATTTCAGAACCCCCTTCCCCTCCCCCATTTCTGATGAAGGGTCTAGGCCCGAAACGTCAGCCTTCCTGCTCCTATGCTGTGTTCATCCAGCTCTACACCTTGTTATCTCCGCATTCCACATTGACTGGCTTCCCCCTTGTCGATTTAATTACATCTTCATACAATTTCAACAGATTTGTCAAGCATGATTACCCCTTTCATAAACCCACGCTGACTCTGTCTGATCCTGCCACTGCTTTCAGTCCTTGATAATGGATTTGAGAATTTTCCCACTACTGATGTTGGGCTTGCTGGTCTATAAATTCCCTGTTTCTCTTTACCTCCCTTTTTGAATATTGGAGTGACATTAACTACCCTCCAGACCCTGTAGAATCCTGGAAGATGACCACTAAGACGACTAATTTCTAGAGCCACTCCCTTGAGTACTCTGGGATGTGGATTATCAGGCCCTGGGGATTTATCCATCTTCAAACCATCAGTTTTCCTAGTACATTCTCTCTATTAATATTGATCTCCCCCAATTCTTCCCTCTCACTAAATCTTGCATCCTCCAACATTTCTGGTATTGGTTCTGTCTTCACAAAAGAGGACACAAAACAAAAGTACGTATTCAGTTGCTCAGCCATTTCTTTGTCCCCTATTATATGTTCCCCCATTGCTGTCTTTAGGGGACCTAACACCTGTCTTCACCAATCTCTTTCTCTTCACGTACCTATAGAAACTCCTAGTGTCAGTCTATATGTTCCCTGCAAGCTTACCTTCCTAGTGTATTTTCCCCTTCTTAATCAATTCCTTGATCCTTTAGAATTCAGCAAACTGCTCCCAATCCTCATATTATTTGTCTTGGCCAATCCGTATGCTTCTTCCTTGGATCATATACTATCTTGAATTTCCTTTGTAAGCCATGGATTGGCCCTCTTACCCATTTTGCTTTTGTGCCAATCAGGAATAAACAGTTGTTGCTGTTCCCCTGTGCGTTCTTTGAATATTTACCATTGCCTGCCTACTGTCACACCTTTAAGTAATCCCCAATCTATCAAGGCTAACTCTCACCTCATACCTTCATAGTTTCCTTTATTAAGATTCAGCACCTTAGTCTCCAAATCAACTACCTCACTCTCCACCTTGATTTAAAAAAAATTCTTATCATGTTGTGGTCACTCATTATGGTTTGCTACATTCTTGATGCCTCCATGATTCCCAGTAGACTGATAATGCAAATACTTCCTGCAGTAGTATGAAATGAACCAGTGCCATAAGATTCGGCGTGTGCACACTGGAAGTGTATTTTGTGTTGTCTGCAAGGTTTAAAGTTGTGACTGCATCCTAGCCTAACCTTTGCTCAGAAGCAGGGTTTTTCAGTCACTGGCAGGCACTTGTGCAGGACCTACAATGAAAATGAGTAACATAGATGTGGGAACAGACAATAGGCTCCCCGTGCTTACTGATATTTACAACAGTCCCTTTTTAGTTTATCCTTGTTTCATAACTGGTACCAAAAAATGCTACACACTGGCATCACAGTGATACATAGACTTGTATCGATACTAAACCTTAAAAGCACTTAAATCAGTCATTAAGAAGCATATTATCAATCATTTACAATCCATAATATGTGATGTTAGTTTATTAAAATGTTAACAGGTTCACAAAGAATCAAGTTTCTCCAAATGTTCACAACCTCTGTCATTCGTTCACACTGAAAATGACAAATTTTGCAATTTTATAAAAAGCTTGTATCACTTTTGTCTGAGCTATGAATCTAGTTACCCGAGTTGCACATGTATTCAATACTTCGAAATCTACCAATTACCTTATTTCTGATATGCCAGAGCATTGTGACCTCTCGTGTCCATTTCAATATAGGGTGAGAACTGTCAGAGTATCCTTACAAGCTAATAACGTAAATTGCAATGTCAGTCACTACTGCAAAAAACTAAGTGAGAAAACTGCCATCCATTAAGTGATTTTGCTAATAATTTTAAATGTGTAACTCCAGAAACTGCTGTTCTCAGAGGCCCCAATACAAAATATTATTCGAGTGCTCTCCAGGCTAAGACTTCTAGCACCAGTGGATGCACCATAATTTGCTGGAGCTAAAGAACATCAACCATTGTTCTTGCTTCTGATCACTTTGCAATCCAATAGCTTGAAGTGTAGAGAGATGTAAACAGCTTAGATGCAATGGCCTATGGCACCAATTTTTCATGGTTGCTCGCACTGGTTACTTAAGTAATATTTAAGGGCTACTTTTTCTATGGAACCATAATACTATGTTTTTTAATTTAAGAAATTGCCTTGCCAAAGATGACAATTTTGTGCTGCAACTTGGACAAAATAATACAGATGGGACCATTTAGGGACAGCTGGTACATGGGAACCTGCAAATTGCCCACTAAATCACTCATCACCCTGACACGGAACTACGTCGCCTTTCCTTCAATGTTGCTGGGTAAAGTTCTTGGAAATCGCTTTCCTACAGCACTATGGATATACCTGTACCATGTGGACTGCAGATGCTCAAATAAAATTTTCTCCCTTCTCAAGGACACTTAAGGATGGACCGCAAGTGCTGGCCACACTAGGTTTACCCACATCTATAGTATAGAATAAAAAAAAAATTAAGCTATGTGATGCTTTTATTTAAAACAATACAGTTCAACCACAATACATCTAACCATAGAAAATTAAATTTTACATTGAAACATTTCTGCTGTTTTTGGATTAGACACCACTCTTAAAACTGGCTATGATAACAGGAAGAATTAATTATTGTTAGGAATTTCCGCTGTTTGTTTTCAGGCTTTTGAGGTGGCTCTAAAATTAAGCTGACTCTTTTGGAGTAATTTTCAATAGTTTAAATTTAGGTGTTGAATTTCCACTGTAATGTTAAAATGTTTGTTTGTTGTGCATAATCCTACCTTCAACTGTATTAACCAAATACCACACACACCAGGGATTTTCTTAATGCAACTTTTTAATAATTGTTTTTAAAATGCTGCCCTATTGCCGGTTCATGACAAATTTTGCATTGAATGGGAACTTCTCAAAAACACCTAGATGACTAACTGTGCCCAATGCAATCGGACTGATTTTTAGTTTGTCTGAGGCAGGCATGTTCAGTGGCAGCTAATCACCGCTCCCTCCAGCATGATGGTTCATCACACTGAGTTCCCATCAACTTGTTACGAGCTGACTAGCAAACTTGTCATCCAATTGCAAGCCTCAACAGTGGTGTCCCTCTCACTGGCAGTTTCTGGGTCCGAAAGACTAATACTTAGGGATCCAAAGATGAGAAGCTAAATTTCCTTTTTTGCTTCCGTTGGGAAGGGTGGGCGTTATTGGGCTCAGAGGGGAGGCTTTCCACGGCCATTGCTGTCTCCGATTCTCCTCCCCCCACCCAATCTGACAGGTCAAGAAAACCTGCTACTTTCCTTGTCTGCCAGGAGACAGATGACAAACTTTTAACAGATGATCAGGATAGTGATGAGTAAAGATTCTTAAGTGCCAAGCTGATATCCTTAAGTGGCTGATAACTCATCATTGGGCCTTTGTTTCTGGTGAGAAGGGGGTTTGCATCTCTCAAAGGACAACTTGCCCTTCTCAGCACCTTCAGGGAGTGGAAAATTGCAGCCTCAAGTTTAATATAGATCATAAGGTAAAATACATGTTTTTCAAGCTTCAATAAGCCAAATACTCTTTCCTTATTCTTTGTAATATGAGGTGCCAACTTTAAGAAGCGAGGGGGGGATATTATAAAAATAAATAAATTTCCAGCTGATGTCATACTGTAGTGTTGGGCTGATTAAGACTGTACTTGATAATTAGATCTCTTGTAGTAAGTGAAGGCCTTATTTTGATATTATCTGATGAGGAAAGAATTTTGGTGTGTGTGGGACAAGAGGAAGGATGGTGTTTTCTTCAAGCTCTGAATAATTTTAAGTTTGTTTTTATTAAGGAGGATAGATGATCAGCAATTTCTGTCTCCTGGTTGGGCTGAATGTTGATTAATTAGTCGTCCTTTGCTAAAAGAATTATCAGAGATCACAATGTGACACCAACCCATACAGGCCTAGCACGTGGTGTTGAATAATTGGTTTAGCCCTTACAAATAACAAAGTAACAACTGTTTCTAACACAGTTTCTCTTGCATATAATATTACTTTGTCTGCAATATTTATAAAGTATTGATGCCTTATGGTAAAACTTGTCCTATTTGTAATTATTTCATTTGGGTAACTAATAATTTAGTGAAGGCAGTATGGGTATTTGCCAGTCACCAGGTTCAACTGCCAACCAGACTAACTACTGGTTGCACTAGCACATGTTTTGTAGTACTCTGGGCAACTGCCTCACCTTTGCATTTTAGAGCCGTTTTCCAGGAGGGGGAATATATCATTGGAGATTTGAGCTGTTTGAGAAATTAAATATCTTCTCTACTAATTTCAAAATGTTGAATTTAGATTTTACAGTACCTCAAAAGGACAAGGAAATATTTCACTTCAAAATCAAAATGTAAAATTTGTAGTTTTATTGAGATAACTGATAAATCTAATGTTTTTTAAGAGTCTAAATTTGGAATTTACTGGATTATTTGGTACGTAAGTGAATGTTTGGTGACAATTTGATGTGTTTGGGGGGGAGGAGTGTGGAGAGAGTGGGGAGACCTTTTGCAGTAGCTTTGCTGCTGAGAAAGATTTTCAAAAAATTCAATTGTCAATGCATTACATTTTTAATAGCTCCAACAAAATTACTAAGTACTTCAAATGTAAATTGTGACCACTTACTGGCTATGTACCAGCTTTATTCAACACTTTATTGTATCTGTAAAATTTTTAATAAGCTATTACCTGTTGGCTCCCGAAAACTGCCTCCTATACATAAAATATGATTTTTTTTAAAACTAGAAAAACAATTGTTGAAATTTATTTTTACCAAAACTATTTTGAGTAAAGTTTATCACAAATCTTTCATTACAGGAAGTATTGTTGATTTAATTGCATTTGCAGTTTTTTTTAATGAATGCCAGAAAATGTCTTGTTTTTCACTGAATGTTCTATTTTGTCATATTGCAATTGGAATATTCTTATAACCAATCACATTTTGAAAATAAACATTGTTTTGAAATATGACATTAAAGCTTTTTTCACATTCAATTATACTTGTGCAGGACAAAACAAAATAATTTTCTCATTGCAGAGTTTTATAATGTTTAGAGATGTAGGCCTGGATTTTCATGGAGACTGTGGCACATCCAAACAGCCATACATACCCAATATCTGGAGGTCTCATCCCCATATTCAGCAGAAACCATTTTATGGGGGTGGGCTGCAGGTGAGGGAACTGGGGGGTACACATGACTTGCACATGTGGGAAACCAGAATTCAGCAAAACCATGTTAATTCAGCCTTATTTTCCGTGGAGCAAGGGCCTTATTCCACACTAAATGAAGGGCAAATAAGGTATGTAGAACTATCAAGCCAATGACTACCTGTGTCCAAGTTGAATGAAAAATGTTTTAACAGTTTCAGTAAACATTTGTTTACATGAAGTATTATCATTATAGCATTGTCTGTTTTGCATAACCCATTGGGTAATTAAAAAAAGACTGTCTTTTGTGGGATTATGAATACAGTTTTGTTTTTATAACAGATTAAAAACTTCATGAGATTTAACTGCATTGCACGGGCAATCTATAATATTCTTAAAACTTTACTTTATCTCAGCATGACTCCTGAACCAAGGGAGTTAATGGAAAAATTGGATTAGCATGGAGGATGAGAGTTGAAGATTGGCAATGTACCCACATGGGAAATAGGTAGAGTGAGGATGAAGGTTAGAGGCTCTAATATTTAGGAAAGCAGCTGGGATGAATCACAGAAACCCAAGTTGGGCAATTTTTATATAGCCTGACTCAGCAACCCCTGTGGCACCTGCATCTCTGTTTGGGCCAGTGGTCCCAACTTCATTCTTAACCTGTCCCTGCACCCTTTGGAGGAGAAAAAAAAAACTCGCCGTTCAGGGCGTTTTGTCTCATGATGGGTGTAGGAGCAGGAAGTTTCCAAGTTCCATACACACACCTTGGGAATGAAAATCAAGGCCTGAGAATCAAATGTTTGGTTTACATGTGATGCCAAAGGTGGACATAGCGAACAAACCAGATTGCTGAACAGTATTTAATTGAATCTGGAAAGCCTCTGCAATTAATCAAAGAATTTCATAGAAAATTATAATCACAAATGTGTAACTAAAGCAGGTACAAATCTGATTAAATATCAGCTCATTAACCTAGTATCAATCTTGGTTAAAATAACAACCAATCTAAGCAACAGACCAAAACAATTTCTGTTAGGTATCACCAAAATAACTTTTGTACATATAGAGCCTTCAACATAATACACAGTCCAAAACACTTGAATGGAGCATTATAAAGCAACATTAACCCATAGATTACCACCGAGAAGAAGGGCGGCAGCTCCTCCAGGTCCCACATCACCCAGCCTTAGAATTATCTATCACCATTCCTCATGTGTCACTGGGTCAAAATCCTGGAACTCCCTCTCTAACAATCCTATGGGATTATAGTTCAAGTTGTTAGGTCACCATGACCTTCAGGACGGCAATTAAGTGTAGGCAGTATGTACTAGTGATGTTCACAGAATCCCTACAGGGTGGAAGCAGGTTATCTGGCCCATCAAGTCCACACCAACCCTCCTAATAGCATCCTACCCTATAACCCTGCATTTCCCAAGGATAATCCACGTACCCTGGACATCCCTGGACACTATGGGCAATTTAGCATGGCCAATCCACCTAATTTTTGGACTGTGGGAGGAAAACCAGAGCAAACGCACACAGATGCTGGTAGAATGTCTGTGGAGGTTTGCACAGTCATCCAAGGATGGAATCAAACCTGGGTCCTTGATGCTGTGCAGCAGCAGTGCTAACCACTGAGCCACTGTGCCTTGCATTTTTGCAAGATTTGTTAATGGTATGTATCAGGGCACATGACCAAAAACTAGATCAGAGATGGGTTCTAAGAAATGTCTTAGCATCATATTATGGTTAAAGTGAAGAAGGAAGCCAACCAACCCATCAAATGTGTGTTGGCTCTGCGGAAGAGCAATTTACATAGTCCACTTTTCCTTTACATTTGTACCTTTCCATACCTTTTCTCCTGCTGTTTCCCCTTAAATGTGTTCGGATTCTCACATGGATCTCTCTATTCTGTTTAGACCCTAAGATGTTAAGCAACTCTATCCTTCTAGAGTTGTGTGAGAATAAACCCAGCATTTCCAATCTACCCTCATACTTGATATGTCTTGTCCTTGGCACCATTCTTGTAAATCTTTTACACCCTCTCTACAGATTTCCCAGCCTTTCATTTGAAGCTAAATCAGTGTTGAGTTTCATCATAACACCCTTGATTTTACACTTTAAATTTCTAAAGCCCAGGATTTGTATGCCCTTCACTTTCCTAATCTTCTCCTATTACTTTCAAATATTTGTGTATATTTATCCAAGGTGTCCCTATTTATGCACTCATTCTTTCCACCAATAGGTATCACTTAATTCTTCTGTGTTAAATTTGTACTGCCGTGTTTGTCCATTTCACTAGTCTGTTAATGTTTGCATGATGTCTTTCATTATCATTCCTGCAGTTGACAATATTTCCAAGTTTTGTCATCTCCAAACTTTGACATTGTGCCCTGTATGATCATTAATATGGCATCATCAAGTCGTTTAGCAGTCCAGCCATCTGTTTTCAATGTAGTTGTTTTCAGCTAAACACTGGATTATTGCTGTTGTTCCATTATAGTTGAGTCATATACTCTAAGATTAGTTATGATAAATAGTTTGAATACAGGGTTGGACTTTTTTTTTTACATTGTACTGAACACTTAAACGGGACTTAAGCATACACAGAATGAACTTTAAAATTATATGTAAAATAATATTTTACTGAAGACTCAATTTAAGGTTTTCATTACTTCTCTGAGAAGGAGTGAGAAAGGAGGAAGAGTTAGAGTGCACGTGCATTGAGTTTTAAGATGGCAGGACACGTTCAGTGGTTAGCCAAGTACAAAGGATTTTAGGCTTCATGAATAGAGGTATTGAGTACAAAGGCAGGAAAGTTATACTGATCATTAAAGGTCTAATAAGGCTACATGTTGAGATTTGGTCACATGTTTAGGATGGGATGTGAAGATTCTTGACAGGAGGCAGAAGATATTTTAGCAGGATGGCTCTACGGTTGGGGAATTCCAATTACTCGCTAAGGTTAGAAAAACTGTGATTGTTCTTCTTGAAGCAAAGGAGATATCACGGAGATTTTTAGAAGCGTACGTGGGAAACTTTCCTTGTTTACCTGTTAACAGGTTGGTATAAGGACTGGGGTATTTAAGATTTTGGGCAAGAAATGCAGAACGAATGAGAGGAAGAATTTTTATGTAGCAAGTGGTAATGATGTGAAACTCACTACCCATGAGGCGGTGGAAATGGAGACATGACTTCAAAAAGAAATCATTACAGCACTTGGAAAGGCTTAAACCTTCACACTTATAGGAACTGGACACAGATACGGAACTGACTGACTCATTTAGAATGGATTGAAAAGACCTTTATGCTGCAAGTAACTATGGGCCAGATCTTTTAGGCCATGGATAGCTGGACATCAGAAGTACTGTGGAAGATGTACCACGGGATCCCTCAGAATCTCACTGCATTCTCTCTTTGGGAATTGCCAGGGAAGTTTGAACCTCTGACAAGTAATTCCCATGTTCCTTTGGATTCTCTAAAAAAGTCTCCAACTCAGAGTTTGAGCAGTTCTGACTTACTTATTTGGAGACTTATCACAGAATCATTAGATAGAAAAAAAGTCTAAATTTGGACTCTTCCCCCTCAAATTCCTGATTACAATCCAATCTGAAATAACTAGTCTAATATCCTACCCAACTCCCTCCTGACCCTGACACTCCACCTCTTACACACTTACCTTCTTTTGATTGCATTTCAAAGAAGTTTTAGGACATCTGAATGCTATTTATCTGAATACTGCAGCTAATGTTGTAAAAAGGGTGTCTGGCTTCTACACATTCTATGTGATGCTCCTTATTAAGATTCCTGTTGGTGACTGGTATTGTCTCTTTGAAATTTAATATGGAATTTAATTGTAATATGATCACCATTCTCAATAAATCGTTTACTATGACATTAAATCAAGTTTTCCTCATTGCACAATATTACATGTCAAATAGCTTTATCCCTGGTTGCTTCCACAGCATATTGCTTCAGGAAACAGTTATGAAAGCATTCTACCATCTCAATTTCCAGAACATCCTTGCCAACTTGATTGGTTCACTTTATATGAACACTAAAAAGAGTTCCCCTCTATTACACTGTCTTTGTTACATGTTCCAATAATTTATCATTTTAATGCTCTGGTAAACAGTTTAACTACTGTTCGAATCCTACAAACTATTCCCACTAGTGTTTTCTGATCCAAGATACTTTTTTGAGAATGTCCCTATGCCACCTTTAATTATCAGAGCCACAACTCCTCCCTTTCAAATCCTAGTCATCTTTTGGAAAATGTTGCTTACCATGGAGTATTTCCCAACCTTAATCATCTTATAATTATGCCTTTAAAGGCAGGTAGATCTAAATCATTTATCTATTTTTTACAAATGTATTCTTAGGATGTGGATGTTGCTGCTAAAATAAAAAGTTAGCCTAATGGCGATCATGTAACACATCTGGTTCACTAATGTCCTTTTTAATGAAGGAAATCTGCCATCCTTATCTAGTCTGGCCTACCTAGAGATGTGGTTGATTTTTAACTGCCCCTGGGCAATAAATACAGGCCTAGAAAATGATACCCAGATCAAAATTAACACAAAGAAATACTGAAAACGTCCAAATGGTTTGTCAAAGTTGACTTCCCTGTTATAATACATGTTGACGTTGCTCGATTCTACTGCTAATTTTTAAGTCTAGTTATCGCATTCTTTATAACAGATCATAGCATTTCCCAGACTGATGTCAGATAATTGGTCTGCAGTACCCATTTTCTCTCCCTATTTCTAAGAAAAAAATTGAGTTACACTG